TGTACTTATAATGATGTTCCTGGAGAAGAACTGGAGAGTGAGGATCACACTTTGTCTCTCCGACCCCTCTCTCAGCATATATCTGTAGAGGGACTGAACTAATGACTATATTATGTTTTTAATGTATAGTGTGACACACCTCAACCACCAAACAGTAGGAGATTTTAAAAACAGGCAGTCATGGAAACTGTTTGATAATTACTGAATTAGCATATTTACGTTTCCTCTAACAGAGTGCATAACATTGGGGCTTTGCGGTTAACACCTAAGTAATAGCACATATCAATAAAGCTACAATTAGACTTGCATTATCTGACTTAAAGTGTAATTAATTTGTAAATTATTTATTTATTTATTTTTAATTTTTTTATTTTTGCAGTGCATAAAGACAGTTACACTTTGGCTCGAGGTACCCCAACGGCAGTCCTCTAGCAACTTTTCAAACATAACATTTAAGGGTATTGAGTAACGTGCACATTTTTTATATAATACTTTGATTAACAAGTAGCTTCGTAGTATATCTAGACGTAATATATGATTTAGATTTCTTCATTGCTTAAATTTAGCTTTTTGACCACCAGGGAGCAGCGAGTCTCTGAGTTAGCCGGTTAAACAGGAGGGTATGCTTGATAATTTTGTTGATGTACATGTGGGTCTACCGACTAGGCGCAATTGCACTAGTTCTAGGCATGACAGTATGACATAGTATACTCAGGTATAATAAGGGAGCTTGTGTCTCTTGTCTGTTGCGCCTCTGCGCTTATCTAGGGTTATAGTCCCAAGTGAGTCCCTGCCGGTTACCATGTGAGATGTTGCCTTCAACAATGCTGGCATGAGTTGTGTGTGCAGGCTGGTTGTGCGCTCCTTAGAGTCGTCTGGTAGGCGTCTTTCGGTTCGTTGCTCCATGGCTGCCGCCATTATTCTCCAGCTTGTGATGGACGCGGCGGCCATTTTGGTTTTCACCATGCGGTCTCTGGCTGCTCGGTTCGCCGCTCAGGAATCGTGGGTGGTCACTGCCTCCCCGGTGGGGTCCGGGATAACCCCCCCGGCCCACAGGGGGGGAGAACGGGGCCCTCTGTAAGCGCGTGGGAGGCCCCGCCGGACTAAGCACGGGAGACCGGCCGCATCTCCCGCCAGAGCCTCACGACAGGCCGCAGTCCCAGCCGCCCAGCAGTTTTCATCGCCGGTAGGACGGAGGCCGGTAAGTACACCGAGAGTCGTGCACAGGTCCCCTTTGCCTTCTAGTTGCCGCTGGGTGGTTTTTCAGGGGAGAGGAAATATTTTTAAGCTAGGATTTTGGATTTCATGGAGGAGCTGAGGTGCCCCACGTCCATCCAGCTCGGCGGTCAGGCCCCGCCCCCCAATTTGTAAATTATTTTGAAGTGAAAACTGCATTTGTTCATTTTATTTTATAATAATTGATTTAACTATTTTGACTGGTTTACCCTGAATTGTAGAATTCTAACAGGTTTATTTACTACAGGGAGGCTTCAAAGTAAATTTAAAGTTCATTTCAAATTGACTAATAATAATAATAATAATGTCATAGTAGCAAAAATAAAAGCATAATTGACTTAGATAGTTTAGCCCTCTAGCATGCAAGCTCATTGAGCAGGGTCCTCAACCCCTGTGCGTCAAACTTGTCTGCTTACAATTACATGTTTGTTAGTCCACCCATTGTAAAGCGCTACGGAATTTGTTGGCACTATATAAAAATAATAATAAAAATAATAATTAATTTAGGCTATTTTGACCTGAAATTCACTTTCAATTCACTGCGTAGGGGTAACTGCATAAATTCACTATTATGAATTCATGTATTCAATTACTGCAATTCGTACTGAGAAGATCATTTATCTGATGGAATAGTATGCACTCACGTGCACATAGCTTGTCTATTTGCTTATTTGTTACTTAATTTATCACTAGAACGCATGTTAGATGAATAATCATCTATGTATACAAATTGCACATTGGACTCACATGAACCAGAAAAGCTGTTAAATGTAATATGAATTTTTTTAGTCTACAGTAAACAAATTACAAATACATTTTTCTAATCATGCTACCTCACTTAGCAAATACTAAAACAGTAGGAATTAAACACAGTTTGGACTTCTCATATGTGTATTCAGTCACAGTTACCAAGACTGATTTTTATCATTTAAATCGAAAGCGAATTAGGTAATTTGTAGAGCTACCTTGTCATGTTAAATATTATATACAGGAATGATACATACATTTAAAGATCTGCACACTAAATCTTGAATCCCTGCTAAATGGCATTCAGTTGTACAAATCCGTCTGTCTTCTGCCCCTAGGGGAGAAAAAGGCACTGAGAGGGGCTGGGGAGAGGTGGCGGGGGAGGGGGAGGAGAGTTGGAGAAAGAGGTACAACAAAGGACTAAGGGGAAAAAGGAAAACACAAAGAAGATGGGGGGAGAGACTCAAAAAGAAAGACACAGAGGGGCTGAGGGGAGAAATAGATACGGTGACCTTGGACTGAGACACAGACAGGCTAGGGGGAGAAAGAGACATAAAAATGGGAATGGAAAAGAAAGACACACAAATTAACTGGGGAGAAGAGACACAGAGAGGGGCTGCTGATGAGAACAAGACAATTTGCTGGGGGAAGAGATAGACAAAGGCTGTGGGTAGAGAATGAAAAGGGAATGGGGAGAAAAATATACAGAAAGGGGCTGGTAGGAAGTGAGAGACATACAAAGAGGTTTATTAAAACACCATATTTATTGACTCATTGAAATGGAAGATAAGATACACTAATGGGCTGCAAGACACAAAAGGGAGGATACAATACACTAAAGGCATTAAGACATAAGACATTCAAAAAGACAAAGTTCTAAATGGGGGTTTAGAGGCACACAGGTGAATAAACTTGTTAAACTATTTATCCATGGACCTGCTAGAACAGAAAACGGCATTTGCTAAACTGTTGCCCCAAATTTGAAAACAACCAAATATCTATAATGTATTTGTATTCTGCAACATTAAAGGAACACTATAGCGCTAACGCTATAGCACCCTAGTCAACGTTTAGGTGACTAGGGCCCTGTTCTGTGGCTAATAAATGGTTAATTAACCATTTATTTGCTTACCTTAATCCAGCGCCGGGCTCCCTTGACACTGGTGACCTCTCCTCCTCCATCAACATGTGCATGTGCGGCCAGAGGCGGGTGCACATTCAAACCCGCCCATTGGAAAGCATTACTCAATGCTTTCCTATTGGGATTTTTTTTTTTAATGCTGGACTCCGTGAGGACTGAAGTGGTCTGGGTGACTATAGTGGTCCTTTAAGATGACCCTTTATTAAAACTAAGAGGACAAGTCCAAACTCTAAAAACCAGTCTCAGACTATTATCCCTCCTTCAGCAAACTTTAAAGAATGCACTATGCATTCTGGTAGATTGCATTCTTCTGGCATCCCAGGACCCAGATTTCCAGTGGAGTGTGATTGACTGGCATTGTGCATGTTGATGTGAGGCTTGTATACAGACACTCAGCTAACAACACTGATTTCTTAGAAGTTTCTGATTCATATTTCCTGTGCTGATGTTTTGAGTATCAATTTAGAATTCGGTATTGAGTGAAACCATAGATGAAAAGCGAGTCACGTTGCCCACCTCATTCCAGCTCCACTTTTCCATTGAATGCGATGTTTCTGGTGTCCATGTCAGCATGGGATGTTTTATTCTGTTCCAGTGTTGCGAAAACAATGCTGTGCACCATTCCAGCATGAAGACTAATGCAGACTGCTTCACCCATAGCCACTTTTGTCTCCAAATTGATGCAGGCTTGGCGTCATTTTGACAACATCGTTAAATTATGTTTTGGTGATGCTCTGATGATGCAGGTTGCCTGGGCTGTATGCACTTACTCTAACATGAGACCTGTGCTCTGTTTTGGTGTGCACTAGCTCTAAGATGCACTCATTTGGATAATGTTTATTCTGGTAACTGGCTTGTACTTTGACTAGCCTGACCTCTCCAACTCAGAGAATGACTTTATTAACTTTGCTCACTCTGTTGTTATTTGGTACTCCTTTGACATCAGCTTGCCTCTTGACTATTCTGTCTCTGTTTTATACATTAAGCCCAGTCATCACAGAGAACGAGTAATAGGTTACTCTTTCCCTGTGCTGTCCTGGATTTGTGTAATAATCTCTATAATATCTTATAACATCTACTCTGTAAATATGCACTTCGTGACTGGGATATTGTTGCAGACATTTCACAAACTGACTTATGGTATCCTATGACATCTTCACATTTAATGTCTCTGAGTGCTTCAGTACAACCTACATTACTGCCAATGTTTGTCTATGGAGATTGCATGACTATGTGCAGGATTTTATGTCTGTTAGCAATAGCTGAGGCTGAAAAACCTTATCAACATATTTAGTATCCACATACCTTTGGCCATATACAAGGTTATTCACTAAAATGAGAATTTAAAGGATCACTATTGGGTCAGGAACACAAACATGTATTCCTGACCCTATTGTGTTAAAACCACCATTTAGCCCCCTGGGCCCCTCATGCCTCCATAAATATAGCAAAATCTTACTGTATTCAAGCCAGAAGCTGTAATTCTGCATGCTGTTTGCCTAAAAAAAAAAAAAAAACAAGCAGTCTGCTGACATCATCAGAAGCGGTAGCCTGATCCAATCACAGTGCTTCCCCATAGGATTGGCTGAGGAGGCAGATCAGGAACAGAGCCAGCATGATTCAAACACAGCCCTGGCCAATCAGCATCTCCTCACAGAGATGATTTGAATCAATGAATCTCTATGAGGAACATTCAGTGTCTGCATGCAGAGGGAAGAGTTACTGAATGTTTGGCTGCATTTTAGGCAGCCATGATCCAGGAAGGATCTCTAACAGCCATCTGAGGAGTGGCCAGTTAAGTTATCACTAGAGATGTCGCGAACCGTCCGCGAACTTCTCGCGAACGGTTCGCCACAGTCGTGGCGAACTCCGGTCAGCTGACACGTCCCGGCCAATCTCCAGCAGACCCTCCCTCCCAGACCCTCCTACTTCCTGGACAGCATCCATGTTGAAACATGGATGCTGTCCAGGAAATAGGAGGGTCTGGGAGGGAGGGTCTGCTGGAGATTGGCCAGGACCTGTGCTCTGTTTTGAAACATGGATGCTGTCTGCTGGAGATTGGCCGGGACCTGTGCTCTGTTTTGAAACATGGATGCTGTCCAGGAAGTAGGAGGGTCTGGGAGGGAGGGTCTGCTGGAGATTGGCCGGGACGTGTCAGCTGACCGGAGTTCGCCACGAACAGCTCGTGGCGAACCGTTCGCAAGAAGTTCGCGACATCTCTAGTTATCACTAGGCTGTAATGTAAACACTGCATTTTCTCTGAAAAGACAGTGTTTACAGCAAAAAGCCTTTAGGTAATAATTCTACTCACCAGAACAAATTCAATAAGCTGTAGTTGTTCTGGTGACTATAGTGTCTCTTTAAGGTAAATTCAAAGTGAATTTCAAATTTAAGGTCAAAATAGCTGAACTGGAAATATTCTCTAAGTAAATAATGCTTTCAGTTCTGCTTCTCTGGCCTTAAATTTGACAGTAGAATAAATGTTAAATAATCCTCAGGTCTTGTATAAAAACTCCACATTTATTGACTCATTGACAAACACAGCAACATTTTCATTTACGCAATGCCTTTCCCAAACCATTGCCCCTGCACCCTATTTTGATACTCCACTCAAACATTCCAAAAAGAAAAAAAAAAAAGAAAACTACTTTTACCTAGCAGTTTATTTTTTTTTCTCTAAGCTGGAGATGCTGAAATGTGATCCATTTGAAAATATTTGGGATCCGTTCATTTTTCAGTCATTGGAGAACACAGTGATCCTTAGAGAAACTCTGTCATACAAACTGAAATGAAAAAAGTCAGAAAAAAGTACCCGAATTTGCTAAAACAATTTTAGCAAACAGTTATTGTGTCCTTCACTAGGAACTGAAATGAACTCAGAAATTGGTCATTTTCTCCAAGATATATAACACAGGGTTATTCGAAAGATAGTAGCAGAACATAAAATTGGAAGTTGGAGCACAGAAGACAGAATGGCGTTCTCACCACCCATGCTGCAGACACATTAAGCATCAGCAGAGCACCAGTCAGATTAGACCTATTTATTTCATACAAGAGGAGGCGGTGAAGAATCAGCATTTGTCATTCTAAGCCTGTGGGAGCTGTTAACGCAGCTTACTCTGAGAAGGGTTTGCTTTCTTTTTTTTATGTATTTATTTGTAATCCACAATTGGAGGGGACTGTTATCAGTATATCGATAGAAGAGAGAGGGAAAGTCAAGCGCCCACACACATAAGGGCTGTAACATTTACGTAGGTAACATATATAACTAAATTATATAAAATATTAAAACGAGTAGTAGTCATAATATATATATATAAATATGATGAGCACAGATAATATACCTGTTGTCTTGCCCCTCTCATTCCAATGTAAATATGCTGTGGTCTACATAAGGAGACTGTTTATTTCAACAGACCAACCACATACCAATCTTGCAGTTAAAGGGACTCAAAACTGCCCAATGACAAAACAAAAAAATAATACTCTTTTGTAGATTATATCCACAATGAAGATATGTATGCAATTAATTATGCATTATTTTATTGCGGTATATCTAAAATAGATTGCAAAAGCTGCAGATCTCTTGTCTGCAGCCTTTACAAGCCCTCCCTTTCTTCCCCAGTTCACAATCTCCGCGGTTGTCAAATCACATAATTTTCACTGCAGCTCAATGAGAAAGTTTTGCAAGGCAGGTGCTCGGGGCAATTGCTGCCTCATGATTTTATTTCCACTGAGCTAAACAAACCAGGAAGTAACAGGATCGGTTGTCTGATTGACAGCCGGTGAGGTGTAACAAGGTTAATTTATAAAAGTGCCAATTTCTTCTAAAACCTGCACTTTTTGGAACATGAAAAAAAACAGGACAGGCTCTTTACATGTACAGCATGCCAACAAGCTTAGAGGTCTGGAGTGTCCCTTTAAACCAAGAGGAAACAAAAGAATGTGAAGTAATATCCAAATACAAGTGTAATTTAATTACAGAATATTGACACAGAGAAGTGCAAAGAAATGCATAAAACATATTTATTAGGACTACAAGCATTCTTAGTAAAATGATGACACACTTTGTCATGTAATGTGTAATTATTGAGTTTATCTGTTTGGTGCCACAGCACATGTGCATGCACCTGAGGCATTACGCTGTGTCAACGCCCATGAGGCAGAGGTAAGTATTTTACTTACCTCCACTGGACTATTTACCCCAGTAAATGCTGAAATTACATTTACTGGGTTGAAGAAATGAGGAACTGTCACTTCACTGGATCTTTGCACAATTTATATGTAGACTTGTTGAGTAATGAAAGCATAGCATTAAACAGAATGGACTGCCATTTTTATAGAATCATTACTGGACAATGCATGACTTGATGCAAAGGGTATCCAATTATGCAACAGTATAATTCTAGTACAATTTACTCTAGTGCAGGGGTAGGCAACCTTTTAGCAGTACAGTGCCAAAATAAGATTGTCAAGTCCCGTAGCGTGCCGGTCCTAGTTTTTTAAATTGAGGTCTGTATGTTGCCGTAGTCTGCTGGTTTTATTTATACTGCAGTTGTTTGTATTGTATTTGTGTGTATATGAGCTATTATAGTGTATATATTCATGAGTAGTTTGTGGTATTGTGTTTGATACCTATGAATGCCGGCTGTGTATGGAGGCTGCTTGTGGAATTGAGTTTGTGGGTGATATATCACATTGTGAGTTTGGTGGGGTGTGTATGTGTAGGGCTGCTTGGGGTATTGCATGTGAGAGGCTGCTTGTGGGGTTGTGTGCGTGTATTTTGTTTGTTAGTGGTGTTATATTTGTGCGGACTGTGTGTGTTTTTGTGTGAGCTGTTTGTATTATTAGTATGAGGGGATGTGGATGTCTTCCCTGGGGTCCAGTGGGGACCGTCATGGCCAGGTACAGGTCAAGGGCAGGAACTGTGATAGCTGCTGCAGGCTGCTCTAATCCAGTGTGGATTCCCATTTACAAGTGCTGGGAGGAAGTGGTCTGAGATCACTTCCTTTGCGTGCTGCAATGCATAAAATGAGGATTGTCATTCACCACCTTTTCACATTAGCAGATATCTGAAGTTCCACTGGGACTCATGATAGGCCATAGAGGCCTGTTTGGCTCTAGCAGCCTTGAGTGCCGTGCAAAGATACCTTGAGTGCCGTGCATGGCACACGTGCCATATATTGCCTACTCCTGCTCTAGTGTTTAGTGATTTCGTTTTAAATCTTCTTCAACCACTGCTATCTATGATTTGCCATAGATTAAAGGAGCACCTTAGGTTCAGGAACGCAAACCTATATTCCTTTTCCTATAGTGTTAAAAACACATGTAGAGTCCTTCTGCCCCCCCCCCCTCACCCCCCTTCTCCTCTTAAATAATAAAAAAAACTCACCCTATTTCCAGTACCATGCAGGCCTGCCAATGCTGGTCCCGCCCCCCATTCCGCCTCCTTGGCTGAGAGAATCAGAATTGGTGATTTCCACTAATCACAATGCTTTCCCATTGTCTGATGATCTAAGCCAAGAACATAGGGCGGGGGCATGGCCAAATGCCACCCTAGTCAATTGCATCTCCTTACAGAGATGCATAAAATGAATGCATCTCTATGAAAAGCGTTCAGCATCTCCATGCAAAGTTTACATTAAACAGCCTGCAGGGACTAAGCTGTAGTTGTTCTGTTGACTATAGTGTCCCTTTAAGGTATGTATTCGGATACTGCTAAATAAATATGGTTTGTCTGTTTGTTTGGTTTTCACATTTTTGTCAGTGCCTAGAGTCCACTAGATTTAGTAGATTATAGGCACTGAAAAAATGTGGAAAAAAACATACAATTTTTATTTAGCAGTATACTAATACAAACCTTATGAAAATGCATGGTATACTACATAAATGGTCATGAATCTGTCACTGATTTTTACTTCAAATCCTTTTATGAGTTTAGCTCCTAGAAATTTTAAAGGGAGGAATTACTGATTTTCATTAACCTGGGTGATTTTTTTATTAAAGTTCTTGTTTAATACATTTTAGAGTCACAGAATGACACTGCAAAAGCCATTAACAAGTCTTTAAAACTGCCAGCCGGGATGGCCAATCAGTATTAAAGGTCATATTTTCAGAAATTCCAAGTGCTTTGGAACTGAGGCTTCGACGAGCCACAAAATTATTCTCTTTCATGTGTACATACTGTACAAAGTTCATGTCATCACCAATCCCCAGGAACAAGATAATGAGAGGTGCTATTAGTACTATGTGGGATAATGACTGCAAGAAAATAGCATGCAGTGAGAGCTTTGAATAGTTTGCGACGTAACAAGAAACTGTAAAAGAGCATGCAAATGTAGAATTGAGCAAAACCTTATGAGAAGAGTTCCCATCAAAGAACAACTTTTTTGTTTTTGTTTATTTTTTATGTTAGGCAATACTCTTGGCACTTCTCATTGTGCTTTATTTTTCTATGGAAAATTATTTTCAAGTATTGCAAGATACTAACCATAGTAAATTTACCAAAATCCCTTTGAAGAAGCCCTTCTACTTGCAATGATGTTCATGTCATTTTCATGACTATATACTTTTGCCTGAAGTTCATCTCCATCATACACAAGGAAGATAAATACTATTCCCAGCACTAATCTTAAGTTTACATGACTCTAAAGTATATTGAAATATTCTAGCAGTAAAGAAAAGGAGAAGGTGATGGTATCAGACACTCTGCACATTTTTTGCACAATCTGCAACAACTTATATTAGTGCCCTGTATAGTACAGATTCCTGTTTTTTTTACTATACTTACTGTATATAACCATTGTGCGAACAACATATTTTGTCCTTATTAGATCCACATACATTTGCTATTTAGACTTCTGTACTTGACAACTTTCCATTTGTTCTCAAGTGCTAATATTTCAAAAACAGTATGGTAAAATTATAATTGAGTAGAAATTCTAATACTTTTTATCTCCCTATATTTATGTTATGGATGTTATTGTGTCCTAACTTGTGTTGTGCTTGCTGTGTGTCTTATGTTT